GGCTATGAATAACGGCAATAAGCCATCGTTGCTGCTGTTGTTACTTTTGTTAAGTTTTGGGCCAATGCACAAATATCAAGTGAAGAACTGAAAATAAACTCTGAGAAATGAACAAGCCCCATCTAAGCCCACAACTTTTTGAAAATATATACCATCAAAGCGCTAAAAAATGTAAAACTGATTTTTTTTCCCTTAAATTTCCCCTGTATGCCACTTTGAAATAACATTTCACAGCAAAGGGAAACCCAAAATACATGTTCTGTACCCACAGGGACAGCTGGGGCTAAAATAACCGTTCATTTGCATCTCATATAGAGTTGTTTATTTTCAGAATAAAATGCAAACGTTTTATACAATGTGTCACATTCGTTTCACACTTTTCACAAAAAAACATTGCAGGCATATGTTTGTTTGTCATTTTTGCTCAATTTGGGTATAATTTTGGTGATTTTTTTCCCCTACTGTTCCCAATGACAGAAAAACATGCAAAAGATTAAGGGTTTAAAGCAAACTGTATTTTAAATAAAAGCGAAAGTTCATCAACAGATCCTTTGGGGGACATCCATTTAGCTCTTCTTCTTTTCTTTTATGGTTTGCCTATTTCTCCCACGTATTTTTCACTCAGCCATCCCCTCAAAACTGAAAGGGGAGACATTCTCTTAGGCACATTAGCAACTCCCTGGAGCCCACCTCACCTCCATTTGGAATATTCTGATTTTTTTTTCTTTATTACAAACACAGCTAGATGAACAGCCACCAGAGAATCGGTATGAACTCTTGTGCAAGGTCTATTTGTATATAACAAAGCGTAGGAATTCATGTGTATCTAATGACCCATGGGCCCCTATAAGGTCATGGTAATTTGAGCGAGAAGCATGCCCACTCTAATAAAATCTCTGTTCATTTCACAAAGACCCGCTTTTGCAGATTATCACTAAACATTAGTCATAAATGGAGCCAAAGAGCTTCTTGATTGCTACAATTACTCTGACAAATCAGCCTGTAAGTATCATTGAACCCTGAGTATTAACAAGCCTAATTTGCAAGAGCACAATCCCGAGAAGATCGAGGAACTGGAGTCCCCAGAGGGACATGAGCTTGTCTCAGAAGCTCTCTGCTACTTTACAAGGTTTCAGTCTTGGGGAGGTTTTGAGGAAGCTTATTTTTTGGTATCTCTCCTTAGTACCTTCATGTGAGCCAGCTGGGAGATTGTACCCTGGAGGAGACAAGTCCATCCTGAACAGTATGATGTTTGTGCCACTTGGTACTGGTTCTTCATGCTCAAGCATTTCTCTGCAGCCTGAGTGTTTTCAAAGCCCTTGGAACACAGTTCCTTCTCTCATAGACCTAGATCCAAACTAGCCACATCTCCATGCAGGAAAATAGCTGGCAGGTGAATAAGAGCCTTTATAAGAAAAACGAAAAAGATTTATGTACTGTATTTGAAAACAGTTTCCTCTCCCATAGCTACCACTAGCACGAGAGTAATATCCAGTCCACTCTCCTCTCAGCCTTTCCAGCTGAACTGTATCAGCTCTTCTTAATATGCATAAGTATTTTAACTGCAGCTCCGATGTCTAATTTCCAAACCAGACAGTTAAGGAGAGTGGAAAAATTTCTGCAAAACCAAGTTCCAAAAATGTTTGAAGTGGGGAGGGGAGCCCTAGAGGAAAAGGAACTAGGAAGCATGTTGTTCCTCCTCCTAAAAGAAGACAGAAGTACTGGATAAATGCACAGAGAAGTGCGCAAGGTTATTTAAAGCTCATCTGAACCCTCTGAACTGTCCATCTTGCACTTACTGGAGTTGAAAGAGCATAAGAACAAGCTTTCTTTTGAGATTTCTGTCCTTTCTACTTCTGGTTGTGCCAGAAATACTTCAAAGATAGGTTTTCCTGGGACATTTCAGTGCTCCTGACGGTGGTGCCTGTAGTCAGGAGCTCCACCAAGGATAGACATTTATAGGGTCAGATATTCAGAATATCTGAACTTTTCTATTTGGGCACCAAAATAAAAGACCTGCTTTCTGGTCCATTCCGTGGGCACCTGCCATGCTCAGTGATTTCCCAAAGCCATGAATCTTCCAACAGTGGCTTTGTAAGTCTTGTAAATGCACCATATAGTTGCATGGCTGACTACCATTATCACACAGGGCTGGATGCTTCCAGGGTTCCTAAGGGGTCTAGAAAAACCCTGCACCTTATTTTGGTTCATGCCTGAAGAAAAAATAATCTTTTATCCCAACTGTCCTACTCAGTCTCAGGTAAAATAAATAAACCTTTGTTTAAGCCCTGTGGGAGGTAGAAGCAGTGAAGCAAAGCAGATGTTGTTAATAGGCTGATTTTCTAATCCCTGTGTGGGACATTAATTTCAGTCCACAGATTTAGAAGGAAACCTCCATAGACTTCTTTGACCCAGTACACAGTAGCAAACAGTTTTAGTAGAGAATCTGGCCTATGAAGGGAAATGGCAACACAGCTACTCTGCTAATTGAGACTTGGAGCAAAGAAAATGCGGGGTTGGACCAAGAAGGGAACATTAGTGAGCTTGGCAGTGTCAGGAGATGCAGTGTAACAGCTTGCAGATCAATGCAGTGGCCTGAGTTCTGCTGCTGGGAAATGGTAAGGCTGGGAGGAGTGGGAAGTCAATGGTAGAAAATGAGACCATTGCAAGAACTGGCTACAGAATTGAGTTGCAGTCACCACTGAATTTCAGTGGAGATCATCAAAAGCTCTTCCTCAAGCATAACATTTTGAAATTCTTTGAACATGAGGCTGAAAGTGAATCGGGGTCTATCCTGCACTCCTTGTGCAATTCCCACAGATTTCAGTGCATTGGGAGGGGGTAAAGGAAGAGATTCGTATAAAGCAGGATTCTGCTACTTCTAAGAGACCGCAAGGTAGTGTCAGGCTGTGAAGCTACATCTGAGGTCGTGCTGAAATAGTTTCATAGTTTGTAGGGTCAGAAGGGACCTGAACAGATCATCAAGTCCAACCCCCTGCCATGGCAGGAAAGAGTACTGGGGTCAAACG